ATCACTAGCTAGAATTCATCAAGGACTCCTTTACAAGAAGAATAAAAAGAAATATCCCAACAGGAAATTGGACAATGGATGTGATCCAGGAAACCACAAAAGAAACCTAAGGGGCCAATAAGAAAGATGCTCCTATTTACTGCAATTGGCACAACACAAAGGGATAGAGCCCCCATGGAGTACTAGATAGTAGTTAAATGAACTGCAACTATAAATCACCCAAATGTCCAGCAACTTGGTARTGGATAAATAAGTTGTGGTATATCCATATAATGGAATATTATTTAGAAACAAAAAGGAATGAAGTGCTGATGTATSCTGCAATTGGCATAGACCTCAAAGATGTTATGCTTAATGAAAGAAGCCAGTCACAAAAGGCCACAGAGTCTATGATTCTGTCCCTATGAAAAGCCCAGAATAGGCAAACTAGAGACAGAAAGCAGATGTGGTTGCTAGGGCCTGGGTGAAGAAAGTGGGAATGACTGCAAAAGGGTGTGGAGTTTCTTTCTGGGGTGACAAAAATGTTCTAAAATTAACTCTCTTTGAAGTCACCACAAAACACTATGTACATTTTAAATGAGTGGATTGTGTAGAGTTACATTTCTTAATAAAGCTGTTAATAAAATACCACAGAAATTCATGAGCACTATAAATTCCAGACCTCCCCTCTCCTGTCTCCACGCGGGAGAACTGGTTTACCAACACAGTGCCAGCCATTCTCCAAAGCCACGTGCCGCGGGGGGAGAGTATCTAATTGGCTTCAGTGTTATCTCTAATGTCTTTAGGCTTTAAAAAACTTCTAAAGCTAATATGGAACAAGAAAGGCTCAGAGGTGGGTGGTTCATGGGTGCATATCATACGCTGATGCTTTTCTGCATTTTGGAACTATAGGTCATGTATCCCTTATCCTGTATGCCTGGGACCAGAAGTGTTTTAGATTTCATACTTTTTCAGAATTGGGAATATTTGCTTGTTCAAAATGACATATTGTGGAGATGGGACCCAAGACTAAACACAGCCTCATTTGTTACATGCATACCTTATATACAACTTGAGGGTAATTTGACACAGTATTTTTTAATGTGCTTGTGTTTTGTTTTTATCCTTTTAATTTTTATTTGTTCTTTTTGGTTAYACATGACAGTAGAATGTATTTGATATATCATACATACATGGAGTATAACTTTCCATTCTTGTGGTTGTGCATGATGTGGAGCTTCACTAGTCGTGTATTCATATTAAACATAGGAAAGTTATGTCTGATTCATTCTACTGTCATCCTATTCCCCTCCCTCCCTCCTTCCTTCATTCCCCTTTGTCTAATCAAATTAACTTCTATTCTTCCCTCTCCCTACCTTATTGTGTATTAGCATCCAAATACCAGAGAAAACATTTGATTTTTGTTTTTTTGGGACTGGCTTATTTCACTTAGCACGATAGTCTCTGATTCCATCCATTTACTGGCAAATGCCATAATTTCATTTTTCTTTATGGCTGAGTAATATTCCATTGTGTCTATGTACTACATATTTTTTTTTAGAGAGAGAGAGAGAGAGAGAGAGAGAGAGAGAGAGAGAGAGAGAGAGAATTTTTAATATTTATTTTTTAGTTTTTGGTGGACATCTTTGTTTGTATGTGGTGCTGAGGATCGAACCTGGGCCTCATGCATGCCAGGTGAGCGTGCTACTGCTTGAGCCACATCCCCAGCCCTACATATTCTTTATCTATTCATCTACTGAAAGATGTGCTTGTGTTTTGACTGTGACACATCATATGAAGTCAGATATGAAATTTCCTACTTGTGGCACCATGTCAGTGCTCAAAAGATTTCAGATTTTGGAGCATTTCAATTTTGGATTGTCAGATTAGGGATACTCTCCCTATATTTCCTAAAGGAAGAAATGTACTCAGCTGCATTTTTTTCAGGCCAATGTAAAACAATTTTTTTGTTTAATTTTCTCTTTAATTTTGTAAATGCAATATTATTATGTTGAAAACCCTGGATCTGAACTAAGAATAGAAACTTTAAAGGTTTTTATTTCAAGCCCCAACATCGATTTGCCAGATAGTTTTCTTTGAAATCAATTGATCTACAGTATATAATAAAAGATTCATAAGCAGCACTGACATAAAAAGGTACATCAATACTCTTACTTAATCAAATAGAATAGCAAAAAAGACAACTGCGGGTTTAATAGAAAGGAAATAAAAACAAATGGGGTAAACAGTACAGAAGATTCAAATGTCAGAGTTAAATATTTTTTGAAATCAATTCAGGAATGTCAAGGTCTTCTCAGTCATCCAAAGCAGTGAAAGGTACTGGAAGTCTGGTAAAAATAAGTATTCAGATGGACAAAGACTAGATTTCTAGCTCTATGTCCTTGGGCAGAGGACTTCCTGACCATTAACAATTCATTCCTCATCTATAAACAATGTAGGAGGGGCTGGGGGTGGAGCTCAGAGGAGAGCGCTGGCCTAGCACTTGGGAGGCACTGGATTCAATCTTCAGCACCACTTTAAAAATAAATAAATAAAATAAAGGATTGTTGTCCATCTACAAATATAAAAATTTTTTTTTTATAAAAAGAATGTATAAGGCTTCATTATATCTGCGCCAGAGCTGTCAGAAGACGCAATGAGGTTATGCAAGTCCAGGGAACACACAGGTGTGAGGCACACAGGGACAGGCATGGGCATGACCCCTTGTCGTGGTGTCACTGCATTGATGCCTCGTGTGCATCACCATCAGGCTGTTCATTACTCTGACTCAGGTTTACTTTAGACAGGTCTGACTTTCAGGAGCAATGAACATCAAATAGAAAAGAAAAGAGAATCAATTCAGGAATGTCAAGGTCTCTCAGCCATCCAACCTTTGCAGACTGGGTTCCACTGCCAAGTCCCTTCTTATGACCTCATTTTTGTCTTTCTTTAACTCAGGAGACACATGAACATTTAAATTCCAGGGAGTCAAAATCTCTCTTGGGGTCAGCCACAGCTTCATTAACCACAGCTGGACAAGCAGGGCTCCATCTGGCTGGAGGGTACGTGGCCCAACGCCTGGGGTTTGGGGCCARCTAGTCCCACATGATACTTGTGAAGTGATAATGGATCTGAAGCTCTCTGGCCTCTGGCAGAGGGAAGCACTCACCCCATAACTACTTGTTACCATCGACTTACAGCCGTAAACCACAGGAGACCTTGGCCAGGGCCCTAACAGCATCTAACACTTTTGCCTCTTTCAGGTTTGGGAGTCGTTAGGTGGGCTCTGGAAAGGGAAACCACGCAGAGGCTTATGGGAGTTTATCACCAGCAATAKCTAACGGGGACCTGGGTTCCTATGAACACTTTACTAAGGAACATACAGGTTCTGGATTCTCTAATTCAGTATTTTATGCTCTTTATCTTCTCATTATTGAGTTAATTTTTTTTTTCAAGACAGGGGAATCATGGCTGTCCAGTTCAAACACCTGAGGTCGTTTTGAAAAATTCTGATGCCCCAGCCCCACCCCAGACCAACGAATCAGTATTTCTGGAGGGAGGATCCAGCCACTGGATTGTTTCCAAAAATTTCCCAGGTGATTCCAGTAKAGAGCACAGGTGGAAAACCACAGACTCACACACTGGTTTTCAAAGTCTAGCTTCAAGTAGGAGGGAAATGCTGACGTAACTCTGGCATTTCTTATGTCAAAGACTTCCAGAATAGAGGGTGATTTGAATCAACTCAATGAGCCTGCCTCCCAGAGGCCAGCCCGGTGCTAGGTATCAGGGATTTAAGAGTGGCAACGGACACAGGGATCCGGTCCCCAAGGAGCTCACCTTTACCAACCTTAGTGAGCAAAGAGGAATAGGATTGAGCCTGCATGACCAGCCCCAAAGGGACAGGGCAGGGCAGAATTTCATAATGACAATTTACAATTACAAAATCTGCATCTTAACTGGCTACCATTTCAAGGGTCTGTCAGGTCCCTGAAGCTTCCCAAGAGCAGCAGGAGGGAGGTGGAGTTTCCTGGCATTTCCACTCATTCATTCAACAAGAGTGAGGACGTCTCCTAGGGGCCAGAAGCTGTTTTAGATGCTGCAGCAGTAACAAAACAGATCCCTGTCCTKGGAGTATTCTGGGAGTGGGGTGGGAAGGAAGAAACCACAGACATAATGGAAACGCCCATCATACAGAAKGCGAGGAGTTGACAAGTGTCACGAGAGAAAGAAAAAAGTAAAGGAGATGAGGACAGGGGTGAGTGGGTAGGGGTACCTGGTGRACCTCATAGCAAAAGTACGATTTGATCAAAGACTTGAAGTGAAGGAGGTATTTCATTTGGTTTGAAGACTCACCCAGGGCCTGGGCATGTCTGAGCTGGCATAGGAGTCCATGACATCAGCACCTGTGTGGTTAGCCCACCTACTAGCTTGTCTTCCAAAGGTTCACAGTGGATTGTAGTGACTGATGTGCTCACTTCCGCTCCCGTCAGTTCCCTCTCTTGTTTACTAATGTCATTTTCTAGTGCTTGCTACCTAGGAGGTACTTAATAGACATCTGAATTAAATTATTTGAAAAGATTATTAATTAAGTGGATTTTAAATTAGATTAATTATAGTTATAACTTAAAGGACTGACTGTATTTTACTGTGTCCAGCGCACTCCTCAGGAAKAAGAAAATTCACAGAAAATCCAGCGTAGCTGTGGATGCTGGAGACCTGGGAAATGTGTATTTTGGGATGTTTGGTTGCCGAAGAAGGGTTTCCATGCCCCACTTCAGGACAAACAGGTCTCTTCTCTAAGCCAGAAGGATGGAGAGGGATAGAATACTGAATAAATGTAAAAAATCACATAGAAAACAAGGATGCCTTTAGTTAGAGAACTTGAACTTCACGGCATGATAGGCTRTAAAGATGTAAGAAGCAGAACCAGGAGTTACGGGTGAATTTTCTTAGCCGATATTCGTATGAGAAAAAATCATGATGCCTCCCATGTGAGAGCAGTCTTTTGAGTATCAACTTACCTRTTGAAGTGATAGATGTCCTGTATGTTTCCAAAAAGGGCGGCTCTGTCTTCAGTCCCCAGGGGAAGTTTTGCTTGGTCCCTGATACAGTCGAGGTAATCCTGTGAAGTCAACACACAGAGTTAAACACCCCTGAGCTTTTCCAGGTCACCTTTAGTGATGCAAGACAAGTCGCTCAGGTCTGTTTCAAATGATTCTGATGCTGTTGTGCTCATTAACTAGACCCTGAGAATCCAGAGCTGTTCCCTCACTGACGATTAAACTACTCACCTGGAGAACACGGAACTTTAGCAAGGTGAAAGAGTGTGGTATACCTTGAAGGTTTGGAAGGTACTAGAGCTTCCCTAAATGAAGAACAGGAATGGTTACCAATAACAGTCAGTTTTGGCATAATGGCTCCCGATTCCTTGACTGATTTAAAAGACTCCAAACTTCATGTAGTGGGAAACCAGAAATAAAAATTCTAAAATGGGACAGTTATTTTAAACACAACCTTTAAGTCATAAAGTTGTCAGTTGTTAAAGGATAGAACCAAATTCTTCCTCAAATACCAATTTGCTTTACAAAAGCTTCTAAAATMATAAGCACTTGTGCAATAGGCTTACGCTATGTGATTGGTGGTACCCGTCCGTGAGCCCTGAGGACGCTCTGGAATGGTCTGAGGTGTTTTAACATAGAAACCACTTGCACGCAGATCTACCACGGGTCCAGATCTCCAGCGGGTTCAACTGACAGCACGGAGGAGCTCTTTGAATTGCTGAGAAAGGGGAAAACGGCTTCCCACCCTGTGTGTGCTGCAGGGTTCATAACTGAGTGTTCCCTTCCCCCTGCAACGCTTGAAGAAGAACTCAGCAGGAGKCGAGAAAACAACCAAGAAAAAAGTGAAAACAGCTGAAATAATGTAAAATGAAAAAATAAATACAATCCCTTGCCCGAGGCTGAACAATGCAGCAAGGCCCCTATCAAAGGGAGCGTGCGACCTGCAGCCCCAGAGGAGCCACCAGACCAGGGAGCAGCAGCACCAAACCACAGTCCACGCCCAGCCGTGAGAGAGGTGCTCAGAGGGGACTCCAAGGAGAACTGGGACTTGAGAGCCAGCAGAGGACTCCTCCTCACACCATTTCATAATCCACATTCTTTAGGGTTCTTTTTGCTCCTCCAAAAAACAGGGCTGTATGCTGGGGAGAAACTATGGGGACTGGAATCCAAATTAGGCAGTACAGGAATAAGAGAGGCGGCAAAGAGAGGTTCTGATCAAAATGGGGAAAACATCCCAGAATTTCTAAAAACAAGCTTTCATATATTTTTTTAATGTATTATTTATTCAGGTGTTAGAATATTTTATTTTTATACCTTGTCATTGATTCCTATTTTATTCCTTTATGGTCTGATAGGATGCAAGGAATTATCCCTATTGTTTTGTATTTGCTAAGATTTGATTTGTGCCCTAATATCTGATCTATTTCAGAGAATGCTCCCTATGCCATGAGAATAAAAAGAATTCACTTGTCAGAAGAAAAAAAAAAAAGGCAAAGGCTTCCTCATCAACTTTCTTAAGTAGCACACTTTATGGTTTGCATAAGTTTCAATTTTAGCTTTTTCAAACTAAAATCACTGTCACACATGAAACAATGCTAATAGACTTTTTTTTTTTAATCAAGTTTTTTGGTAACAGATCTTCTTTTTAAGAAAGTGGTCATCTCCATAAGGTACCAGATTCACAAATCTAAGTGTAGTGGCCTTTAAACCCCCACCATAGCAAGGCCTGTTCTCCTTACTGTCAGGAACCGAACAATGACAATGAGTTTGGACGCTTGCAGATGAGGACATTAATGCCCAAATAAAAGAAGCGAAGGACGGTGAGAATTGAAGTAACAGTGCATGTTGAACCAACTTGAGCTTTCTAAAAAAATCAAACATATTCATCAATATTTCTTTTTTAAAGAGAGAGAGAGAGAGAGAGAGAGAGAGAGAAATTTTTTAAAAAAATATTTATTTTTAGTTTTCAGCGGACACAACATCTTTGTTGGTATGTGGTGCTGAGGATCGAACCCGGGCCACACGCATGCCAGGGGTGCGCGCTACCGCTTGAGCCACATCCCCAGCCCTCATCAATATTTCTGTTAAATCACACATGGTATAATGGGCTAATACTCGACTTGCTTGGAATGCCTATATTTGAGGATAGTTTAATGCCTTGCTGGACATTTTTAAAATCATGTAGCATGCAAAACTAAGAAGGTAAAGCAGAAGAATCTGGGGAGCTATGAACCACACCAACGCAGGGTGAGAGGTGGGATTGAGGTGGGTGCGCATCCCAAATTCACCTGGCTGGCTCCAGATGTTCTGCCTTGGGGCTTTTCAAGAGAAGGAAAAATCCTTTTTCATTCTTCATGTACAAAGCATGCTCACTTGCAGAAACCCAAGACTAAATTCTTCATGTAGGAGAAAGATGGGAAAGGGGCTTGAARAGTTCCATGTGGCTTTAAAGACTCACATGGCCCTGGTTTCCAACCAGTGATGGCCCTCTCTAATTGAGAACTTCAAAACCCTCAGCATCCAAGGTACAGACACTGCATTTTAAAAGATGCTTATTTTCTGAAATTATTGAGAAAATAGATCATTGGGTGTCCAAGATTTTGCAGGTCACTCTAGAAAACAGATCAAAGTCGTACGGCCCCAGCATGTTCCCTCCACTGTTCACAGTTAAGCTTTTAAGTATGAGGCTTTAACCTTGAACCAGTTACTGAAGACTCCAGTAGCAAGTTCTCCATTATAGCTATAATCATCTGGAGCCAAAATGAGAGGTTTGAAGCGCAGTGATAATAACAGTTCATTTATGCTTAAAATGACAGAGTAAGGATACAATGACATTTATTAGAGCCTGTTGTTCTGCTTATTAATTTTATTGACAATGTCAGTACCTTTGGCTACCATACTGTTAACAATGAAGGATCAAGTTAAAACTTTTGCACTACGACAMTTATTCTGTAAGAGTATCAATGCATACCCACCACTTTGGGGGTGGGGGGCAGTGAGCATATACTAAGAGGGTTTTTTTTTATCATTCCAATAATTTTTCATTTTGCAATTTTAAATGTCCTCTGTTTATTTTCTAATTAGTTTATGTCCTTACCATCTCCACCATTAGATTTACACATGAGTGGTTTCCTCTCATTAATTTTTTCATTCCACGGGTGGTTATTGAAAGTCTAACTTCAGGTACAGTAAATGGGCAGGAGCTAGTTTGCACACTGTTTCTGCTCTGCAATGAGGTAAGTACAAAGCTGAGAGTGAGCATGCTCATAGTTTGCCAGGACAACTAAATATCTGCTGAATCTACTCATAAATCTGTATTTATATTTGGTAGGTCTTATTCTTGTCTGTTTAACTTTTCTCAAAATTCATTTTCTTACTGTATTTTACAAAAGTATCAGAATATTGGCAGGTTGGGAGAAAACTCTACATATTTGTGTTTTGGAGAACGTGTCTTTTTCCATTTCTCTAATTCCTTCTCCTTTTCCAGAAAGTAGTCACCGGTGGCCATGTACTCAATGGAGATATCACTGAAAACAGACTTCCATTTGCATAGCCAYTTAGAATTTAAAAGCACACTCCCATTCATTCATACAAACCCTCCAACCATCCCACTTTTTAGGGACATAAGAATGTGTGCCAAGTTGTTTCACAATCCAGGAATTAAARAAAGTCAACCACACATCATGCCATTCCCCCTGGAGCTCCCTGCCTGGTCCAACTGTATACAAATAGGTCCACTACAGTGTTCCCGCTGGAGGACTGAAATAATCGGGTGCAGGAGGGACTTTCCCACTCCAGGAGGGAGAGTGAGGTTACAAAAAGGAGGTGGTGATACGGAAAGAGCTGATCTTTGAGATGAGTAGGGGCTTGAATAAGAGAAAACAGGAAGGAGACCACAGCATCAAGGAGGAGAGGGGCAAGACAACACGGGCACAGGGTAACGAAGACACAGAAAGGAGTGGGGAGGGGTTGATCTCAGGACAGGCAGGACCTCAGGAACTGAGATGGGCTGCAGAGAGCTGGGCATGTGCAGGAGCATCCAGCCTGGAGGGCGGGGCTGCAGTGATAGACAGATCACGGAGACTTCGCTGCTATGTAGGGGATGGCGGCCGCAGGAGGATGCGGTGAGATCAAAGGTCATTCCAGCTTGGATACAGAAGTAGAATAGAGGCTATAAAAAACACCAGGGAGGCGGCTTAGAAGACTTGTGTGGCAGGGCAGGTGAGTGCACACCTGAGCCGGGTGGAGAGGAGAGATTTTATGGGACAGGAGGTATTTAATGAGGAAAGAGCAAGACCTAAGCAAATGATCCACCATTCTGGATTTCAGGACAAGGAAGTCTGGGGCTTCTCTTCTCACTTTCCACTCCAAGGGGGTGGGTGTGGCTCCACCTGCTTCTCAGAGGACATATGATCATCCACTGTGGCAGTGGGTCTGCTAAAGTCAGTCAGACCCTCTGTCTCTTCTTCTATTGGGCTACAGCAGGGAGATAGAGCTGTGGGCTTTTCTCTTCCTTTCTGCTGTTTTTCCCCCAAGTAGCATGTGAGTTAAAACTAACCTAAAGCTGCCCCTGCWGGTCTGTTCTGCAGACGCCTTGGCAGGGCAGTTCTAGGCCTTTCTGATGGGCAGGTACCCTCTGGAACRGATTTCCTCACACCAAGATGAAATATTTCAAGACATCTCTGGGGATCTGTGGTGAGGGGACAAGGCCTACGTTTTGGTGCAGCTAATCCAGAGACTTGGTCTTTGTGTGGCTCAGGCTCACTCACCTCGTTCATCTCAGGTTTATTTTGCAGCCACTGTCCTCTGCATGAAGTGCTCTTGGGAACGTCATGGCTCAGAGCCACATGTCCCTGGCCAACACCCCCACTCCCTTTCACCCTGTTGTCCCATTCCCCTGGGAGCTGAAGAGAAGCTGTGAGTCTGGGGTGGAGATGACACATCAGACCTGGTGTGTTACGGCTGGGTGACTGARAGCCATCCCCAGCGAGGGTCGTCAGGACAGGATCCGGGGGCAGTTGCTCAGGGGGGCTCTGTGGGAGCTAGAAGTGCCCTCGGTGCA